GGCCAGGCGTCACGTGGCGGCGCCTCCATTGGCGGGAATGGGGAGGACCCCGCTGGAGGGGCGGGGCCGGGTGGTTGCGCGCGGCCCCTCAGTGGACGCTCGCGCCCGCGGCGGGGGGCGCGGGCCTTCGCTGGCCGCTGGTGCGCGGCGGCCCCAGCCGTTACGGCCGTTACTGCCGTTACTAGGCCTCCGGGGGCCGTACTTCCCTCACGGGAGGAAGAGCCAGCTGGTGTCTGCCTGCTCGTGAGAGGGTCACCTCGCCGGGCCCCCCCAGGCCCTCTCAGGGAGCGGGGGAGGGGGGCGTGGGCTGGGTGGAGCTGCCCCGCCGCCCCGCGGCATCATTATTAGGAGAAATTTCTACACCGAAAGGGTTATCAAGCACTGGAAGAGGCTCCCCAGGGAACTGGTGGAGTCGCCATCCCTGGAGGTATTGAAAAGCCGGGTAGACGTGGTGCTTAGGGGCATGGTTTAGTGGTGGTTTTGTCAGGGTTAGGCTGGTGGTTGGATTTGATGATCTTAAAGGTCCCTTCCAGCTGAGACAATTCTATGACTGTATGATTCTGTCACCGGCTGGGGAGCCTCTGTGGGCGGCCCTGCACAGCCCCAGCCGCACAGCAGTGGAGGGTGGCACAGCCACCATCAGCATCTGCTCTGCTGCAGGTGCGTGGTGTGGCACAGAGCTTGGTGCTTTTTTGTCAGGGCGGTTACAGCCTTTGCAAAGCCTTCGGGAAGATGTGTACCAAGCTCTGTCCCCATGTGTGAGGGAGAGTAGACTGGTGAGGTGGGTCTTTCCTGCCTAGTCAGTCTGCACCAGAGGCCTGCCTTCTGGTTGCTCATGAAAGCCTCTCATGCCAGGCTTGCTTTCCAGCCGGCTGGCTGGCCCAGCAGGGTAGATAGGTTAGAGGCTAGAGTCTGGTTTCTCAGACAAGGCACAGACAGAAGGCTGTCAAACCCTCTTTGAAACTACTGTCCCTGCCCTTCCTTCCTTCCCACTCATTTTTAAACTCGATGCCAGCAGATTCCTCCGTGCATCAGGTGTGCTATTTACTCCTGCAATTATGAAATGGATTTTCACATCCTCGTGAGTTAAGATGGAGATGTGTATTTAAGCATATGTGCTGCTGAGGCCTGGGTTTTCTTTCTATTTGCATGGAAACAGTAATCTCACATAGCTTCCCAACATCACTCCATTTCAGCAGCATCTCCTTCAGGCACTAACCTGGTAACAACAAAGAGTACACAAATGAGGAAGTGTGTTGAAAAATATGCGATGGATAGTCTCACACTGTCAGCTAACAACTGTCCCTATCCCAGAGAGAGACTCCTGGGATCCAGACAGGTCTTTCTGAGACTTGGCATATGACAGTGAACCTCAGGAGAAACAACAACAGAACCAGAGTTCCACTGTGGCTACAGGCGCAGACAGGGCGGCATGTGGTTGCAACAGCTTCTGGAAGCCAGAAAAGAAAGAGCCCCCAAAGCTGAATTCAGCAAGAATTCAAAACTTTGGGTACTGGAGGAAGGGGTAGGGAAGAAAAAAAATCAGAAAAAGGTGCTAGCCTTGTAGCTTTTTCAGGGGGATTTCAAGGTCTAAACTGACCACTTTACAGAGAGAAAGACAGAGAGACAACCCTGGCTTCTTTATAAGTTGCATTTTTCTTCTGGGTACTACCTGAGCCCTGTAAAAAGGATATGAGAAATTTTGCTACTGGATCTGCATTACTTTTCAGGATAATTCCTGCTTCTGCCAAACTTCTGTTTTTACTTAAGCTGTGGCTTTTATTTCTGTTCAGTCCTTGATCATAGGCTGTTTCTGGGTTGTGTAATCATTTTAAACACTTTAAAAGTCAGAGGATGCATATTCACTTGCTCATTTTGCCAACAGGTAAATAAACTACATCTTAATTTATCCTAAAAACTAATAAACTGTGTGGCAAAGCCCACAAACCATGCACAGACTAGGCAGATAAAAGAAACAAGGGACTACGGGTTGTAAAGTATGTCACAGTGTTAGCTAAGTGGGACAAATAAAGGGTTTCTCATATTCCCAGGGCCTGCAGGTCCCTATGGGATGGGGAGAAAGTAAATGAATAATAGAATCAAATTTAACTCAAGTTAGTCATCATTTCGGTGCCCATTGAGACCAGCCTGGTTTGGAAATACGCTGTCATTTGAGTAAAAAATTTTAACAGTTTTGCACATCTTTGGTTAACCAAAAAAATAAGTTCTTTTTGGCCAACTCTTCCTTTCAAAGTACTTCTCAGTTTTCACAAAAAAATCCTGTGAGGGTTTTGTTGTTTTTCGTGTATCAGGACTTACAGTAAGTAAAAAAAATTCCAAAACAAAATAGATCTGGAAGCAATGTAAACATGAGAAAGCATGCTTTAAAAATAAATGCAGGCGTTCTATTCCCTTTGTTTTATAATTCCCCTTAGACCATTCAGAATAATGAGTTCCTATGGCTCCCTGCCAAAACCTTGAAAAAAATAAAATTTTAGCCTCATCAGGAAACTATGAAATATAACCCACAGCATGCCATTGTTTGTCAGATTTTTTTCTTGTTGTTGTTGTTGTTACACAATGATTAAAATGGGGTTAGATTTGAAATAGTGATTTATGTTTTATTTACAATTTATTTAAATACTGCCTATGTTAAAGCACAGGAAACTTGGCTGGTCAGCCAACACTTCTTAAAATGTATATTAATTGGGAAAAAATAGAGTATCAATTTCTGGGCTGTTCTATTTTGTGTCGTGTTCAGTTCCGTATTTTTCAGGGCAGGCCCTGGCCACTACCCCCAGCCAGGGAGCAGGGCAAGCTCCCAGGGCATCGATCCCCAGCCCAGGGCATCGGGCACCTCAGTGGGGACACAGATGGGTCAAGGCCAGGCTGGGACATCAGCTCATGTGTGCAGCTCAGGATCAGGCCGGGTGAGGGTAACCAGCATCAGGCAAAGCTGGCTGGCTGGACTCATGCACCTGTAGTGTTTTCTGCCTGCTCTTTCCGTATCAAAAATAGGCACCTTTGGAATCTTTTTGTCAGAAACACTGTCGTGTCCCTGGTACTGTCCTGAGTCACTGTCTGCACCTGTCTTTTGAGCTTGATATTTTCAGGATCACTGGCGTGGAGCAGCTTGTTGAAAGATTATCTCAGACCGACTTGCATGTCATCTCTCGAAGATACTGAATGCCAGTTCTATAAAAGGAGATGAAGAGCTAGTCTGTGACTTTATGGCAATTTTCCATCCATTTTCTTGCTAATCCCCTACTTAGATTTTCTTCCTCTGTACATGAAAACTGCATAGTTGCATGATTGTTTTGGGGGTTTGGGTTTTTTTATGATACATCTGAAAAATGTCCCTCTATAACTAAAGTTTTATTAAGGTCAGACAAGGCTTTAAATTACATTGGAAAAACTACACTAATGTAATTTACAATAATGCAGATTGCCTTCTCAAAGGCAGATAGGTAATTTATAGTCTTTGTATTCCTACCTTGAACAGGAGGCTTAGCATACACATCTTGTCTCAAAACCTGGGTAAGACTTTCCATTGATCCCCTCACAGCAAGCTGGGAAGGATCTGCTGTGCTTGACATTATTCTCCTCCCCAAAATCTAAAGCTCATAATGTAATAATTTCATTAATGACTTCTAGTGGCTTATCTGTTTATAACATAACCTTTCTGCTCCCCAGCCCAGCTACCTGCTTCTACATCTGCGCAGCTTCTGGATGGTGCCAGCATGAACATTTGTGAAATCAAGCAGTAAATGAGATTGAACTGAGAAGTCTAGAAAACAACCTGCTTTCCTTCCTTTTTGCTGATCCAGTTCACCAACATAATAAATGTGTCAGAGCGGCACTGGGGATAGCACAGAGACAACAGAGAATGGAAACAGCTTAAATAGGCTTGTTCTGTCACCGAGCGCATACCCATGTGTTGACTTGCATTGCCATTTAGACCCTGCTCAGTGTCTCCTCGAAAACACTCTTGACACACCTACCAACTATGAAACTGGAACTCTTCGAGTGCATAATTTCATTAGTCATCCTGCCGTGAGTCTTTGGCCTGGGCTGGACGACGGTGTTTGTCTCTGACAAAGGTTGGTTTTATGACACCATGGTATAATGCGGTGACATTTTCTGGTTTCTTTTCACTGAATGTTTCATGAGTCTGTTGTTTCCAGGGACATGCATGAGGAGTCATTTTTATTTTTATGTTCATGGATATCTTAACTCCTTTTTTCAGCAGTGAAAACTAATAATCTTCTTATATATAGCTAAATTACAGCTGTTACTGGTTTTTCTTTCCCTGGAGTTTGCTCTGTGACCTATGTAGGTCCTCTTCCAAAGCAATATGCATAATGAGCATAATCCACAGAATTCATCCCTCAGTTGGCCAGTTATGTCCTGCTGACAAATGAGTTCTCAGAGCCAACTTAATAGGCCTTTTAATGCAAAATGGAAAGCGTCACAAACTAACCTTATCAAAAGATGCATTGTACTGCAGAGAGAGGGTTTCAGATGCTACGAGATTCTTATCCAAAGGCTTGGACGGCTCTCTGGATTCACATCCTTTCTGTGCATTGTGTTTACTTAGAGGATGCGATAACGCCGTCACTATGTTACACAAGAGTAAAATAATAACTGGAGCTGGCTGGGAAGCGAAATCTCTATTCTACAGGAAATTCCAGCTTGTCAATATTTTGTTTCATTGAGCGCTGGAACAAAACACGTTGGCTCTGCAGCCTTTCTGGCAAAAATGGAACAATCTATTTCTTTGCCAGCTGACAAGCCTGGGGAGCCAAGAAACCAACTGAGCAGTCGGCGTATTGCCAGGGAGCTAGATAACCCATCAGCTGAGCTACAGTAAGCAGCCACCTTGGCTGGATTTCTGGCCAGCAGCCACAGCCAAGAAAGCTTAAGCTTCTGTAGAAAGTTTTGATGGAACCAGTACGATCCAGCATTTTCAGTGCCAATCTGTTCAATTAGAAAATGTTCAGGCACCCTCTCAGTAACTGACTACTGTCAGAAAAGAATGTAACTGTACTCCACTTAGGATTCCTTATGGATTTCTGCAGCTGTGCCTTGTGATTTATGCACACTATCATTGCTAGTATGAGATGATTAAATAAATGAATTTTTCCTTAAGCATCAGTGATGATACCCAAGCCCATGAGGGATTTTTTAGGGTGTCCTTCATTGCTAGTTTTTTGATTATTGTTATTGGGAATATCTAGTAGTATCTGCTTGTGTATACCTGCTATCCAGAAGGTACCGTTGCTGTAGACAATACACCATTAGATTGAAATAAACTCTTATATCTGCTATCGGACACACACTGCCTCTTTTGTGTCCACATTTGTGGATGAATTTAAGTTAGGATGAACTTGCCACAAAATGCAATAATCAGGCAAATATATCTTCTGAACTGGGTAAAAGATACTGATCTGTTATGCCTTACTGAATAATTGCTAATGTTGAGGTCAACACCAATACAGAGGAGAACCCTCCTTCATTTTCAGAACTAGCTGTGCTCAAGTGCTAAGTTTGCTGAATGTAACCTTAGCTATTATTGCAGAATGCTGATAGTGTCCAAGTTGCCTGTCCTTTTTGGTGTTTTTTAGAAAAAGATGTTGGAAAAGTTCATTTAAAAAATTGCATCCCTGCGATTATGGTATCATCATAAAAGTAACCAGCTGCTTTTTAAAAATGTTTAGAGAATTTCTGTTGTAGGATAAGTCTCATAATTTCTTAAATACACAGATACTGTACACTTCTGTCATTTGTTTCCAACTAGTTGCTACATACACTTCCTCTTCAAAGGCCGGAGTCATATATCATCGCTACTTCAACTGTGGTAACTCCAGGGAACAATTAATTCTCTTGTAAACGTTTAGTGGTAATTAAGTTTTCTGCAATGTCATCTATTTAAGTAGTTTCTAATACGCCTGCTGTGAAATCAGAGGAACAACAGATGCTTTACTGAGCTACATTTCAAATCTTGTTCTTTCCACTTGTAAATAAACCTTTACTCTTACTTTCTCTCTCAAATTCAACTACTAGCAGAGATGCTACAGCAGTCTTGGTGAATCCCATGCTATTACCATCTGGATTCCAAATGAATTTTATGGCAGTTGCTTTGCTTTTCATTGACCTTTGTATTTTCTAGGGATGGCTCAATTTATTGCTGTTTTTACAGAGTTTGTGCTTGAACTGGAAATCATTTGCATGTAATACACTGTTCATGGTGTGCTTTCCTCTTCATTTCTGGCGGATTTGTTACACAGTCTGCTGTGCGCTGCTGCAACGTACCCTAAAATGTGCTCTTCATCTCAGGTGCATTAACTTGAGCATATGTTTAAGTCAGTCTCAATCAATATGTCTGTTTGGATTGCCTGGTTTTATATTCCACACACAAATAGCTGCTGTCATGTGTCATTTGAGTCTCTCTGATTCTTAATTTCCTCAGCGTTGCTGCATACTCTGAGATTATTTCATTTCCTCCCTGATTCAGTACATAAAAGAAATGCTCCTTAAACAAGAGCACATTTTAATGAAAGCGTTATTGTCTTTTCTTTCAAAATATTGAGGGGAGTCTACCAAATCCGTATACTGCTTGGTGTTACCTTTTCAGCAATAATAGGAATGTTAATGGCTTCTCCCAAACTTCATTTTCAGTTCTCTCAAAAAAAAAATGAAACTGGGAGTGACAAGGAATCAATCAATCACCTGAGACAAACTAGGAGGGCCTCACTCCATCCACGTGGTTGTATAAAAGCTTGTTGTGATACAAAGAATCCTGAAAAGCCATATGTCAGAGAGAGGGAGTTATTACCCCGGAGAGATGCCACTGTGAAAAATGGCCACTGTCCTTTGCAAGGGCTTCTTTGCAAATCACTCTTTGAAGATGGAAGATCTTGGCCAGAATGAGACAAAGAATAGAAACATCTGAAAGAAACGTCATGTGTTCTTCCCTGCTGCCTTGAGATTTCTGAGTAGCTGTGTCTGAGCTATCTTTGCGAAGGCTATTTCATTTTCCTAATGAAATTTTTCCAGGAAAATGTCTCAGCTCAGACATGTTGCATTTTCACAGCCTATTGAGAACCAAATAAGTTATATTTCTCAACTGTCACTGAAGCAGATCAGAGCAGAAAAGTGGAATTTAAATAATATCTGAAATGTATTTCCAGAATACATCTTGTTTAACTTAACTATTGGGAATCATGATTACCTCATGTGCTCCTGATGTATAGATTACAGCAACTGGAGTATATTGGGTTGGTAATGGAATGGAATAATAAACTATGCCTGAGTCTAAATAGGAATGGTTTTAAAAATTTCTGCATCTAGACATATGTGGATAATAATCACAGTAATGCCTATAATACTCTAAGTCAAGGTACAGCTTCAAAAAAAGCAAGTGTGGCACTTTCTGGAAGAAGCAGCTCCATGATTTTGCTTCGAGCAGTAAGACAACAGATGAATGGAACAGTTTTAGCTTCTAAGAAGAGGTCATCTTATTTCTTTATTGCAAAAATGTGACATACAGAAAATACAGTGTCTGTTGCAGAGCAACAGAAATGTTCCACAGTATTACCAATAGTTACAGCTCACTCAACTGTGACAGTAAATTGAGTTTTTCAAGAGTGAAATGTAGCTTAAAATTATACATCTTGGTAAGACGGTGTATTACTGAGTACCTTAGACCGTGTACCAATGTTGTATTAGTTATTATTTTAATTAAGAAAAATAATTTTTAAGTTTGTTGAAAGGAAAGTATCTTCTTTGTGGCACTGATGCTTTAAAGCTGTGGAAATATATATACACATATATATAAAGCTAAAACCTTTTTTTTTAATTGATTGGATACTTTTTTAATAATTAATTTCATTTCATTTAATAATCCATTGTTTGCTTGATCAGTTGCAAGAAACTGCATTAGGAATATTTTAAAATTTAAAAAAAATTATATTAAAATAAAATTGTTTGAAGTTTAATGGTTTGACATCATTTACAACTGATAAGACACTGTTCTATCTATAAATTAATGGAAAATGAGAGTTAATATTTGCTTTCAAATAATTGCCTAGGTCACATGCTGCACAATAAAGCAGATGTGCTATTGATAAGTCAGAATTTGATCCTGAAAGCTGTGTTATAAAAGTATTAAATTATTTTTTTTCTTTATCTGCCAAAAAGTTTCCAGAATTACCAGCAGCTTTGCATTTCATCGGCTTTGAATACATGGAAATATTGAGGCCTGTCCCTGCCAGATGGTTATCTTGAGAGATTGCAGTCAGAAGATTTCTTCAGTGTTTTCCTGCTACTAAAACTCAGGTAAGGATTCACCACCTGTGTTTTTCTGCTCTTTAGGGGCAGTGAAGATGGGATCCAGGAAAGAAATTAGTGGCTGAAGCCTCTATGGTATTCGTATTTCTTTATGCAAAAAGGTCTATGACAGTCAAAAGTGTAGAACCATCTGATCCTTTGTGAGTTGAAGTTAATAGTATAATAAAGTCACAGAAGGGTAAGTTACAATAATGTACTGATTATGGATTCTTTAGAAGTATACCCCTCTAAAACATGTCACACCAAAGGAGAAAAAAGAAAATGGATTTAATTTCCCCTACGAATCTACCATTTTTAGATCAGAAAAGGAAGTTACATTAATCTGATTTAGCTTATTCATCAGCAAAATTATGTTGATTTTTCAGGGCATTGAAAGCACCTTTTTATGGCTGAAAACTGATTGATGTAAATGGTTTGTGTGGGGAAAAACATCACGGATTCAGAAGAATCACTGACAAGTTTGCATACAGCTTTTGTTAGGACATAGTCTAATGCTTTGTCTTCCCATCCTAGTTCTCTCAGGCTCTGGCAAGGCAGGTTTGCCTGAAGGCACACTTTCTCCTCCTACCTCCTTCATTGTCCATGTCCTTTGGAGCTTTGCAGCTTTGAATGGCTGATTTTCCTTATCATAAATAAGTACAATTATGGAAAATAGAGTTGGGTTTTTTTATGAGGCAGAGCATTAGAACACACAAATCCGCTCCTGATAGCTGGTATGCAATGGGAGAAGAGTCTAAACCTGAAAAATGGGAAATCTGCCAGGATCCAGAGTAGAGATTATAGCTCTCTTTCTTTTTGTTTTTAATTTGAGGCATTTATTTTCTCTGCTTCTATCTTGCGTGTGTTAGGAGAGGATAATTTTCTATATAAATGCACGTGAAGAGACTGCAGAAACCTGATAGATATTGATGGTGTTAAGGCTGAGTTTCTAGGGAAACCAAATTTCAGTTTTATAGATGACAAGTTCTAAGATATGATTTAAAATTTTTAATTTTTTAATTAATGTAAATAATATTATCAGTTGCATCTTAGCATGGCTATTTGGTATATTTGAGGGCAGTATAAATGTGTATGTGAGAGAAAAATACACACAATATAATACAAAATATGCTAGAGAAAATACCTTATTTTCATTAAAATAAAGTGTTCCACTGAGGCCTTTAATTTTAATGCGAGTGTTTTCCAGTTCTGTTCAGGGAGGATATAACAATGCACACTGCAGGTGAAGGAGGCTTGTCAGAGCTAGGAGTGCTGCTCATATTGTGGACTGAGGAAGAGAGCACCATATAGGCAGACCATTATGGTCCCTCAGTCTTCAGAGGCATCTGGGATAAAGCAGAAAGTGAATTTGGAGCTACTGTGCACTGCACCCTCCTGCCTCTGCGCTTCAAAGCATTTAGTAAATTTTGCCCCTACAGTGATCTCAAGAGTAATCCTCAGGAGGTGTTTTATGGCTCTTTGTAAAGTACATCTTGATTAATTAGAAAAAAACCCACCCTAATTTAAAAATACTAATGTAGTGTGTGTACATAAAGGACTGCTATTTTAAATCATATTAATTAATTGGAGTCTACAAGAAAGCTGGAGAGGGACTTTTTACAAGGGCATGTAGTGGTAAGACAAGGGGTAGTGGCTTCAAACTGGAAGAAAGTAGACATAGATTAGATATCAGAAACAAATTCTTTACTGTGAGGGTGGTGAGGCACTGGAACAGGTTGCCCAGAGAAGTTGTGGATGCCCCATCCCTGGAAGTGTTGAAGGCCAGGCTGGATGCGGCTTCGAGCAGCCTGATCTGGTGGGAGGTGTTGGGGTTGGAACTCAATGATCTTTAAGGTCCATCCCAATCCAACCCATTCTATGATCCTATATTAAAAAACTCTCTGACATTCGTCAGAAGTGTGATCATGCAAAGACACCTGTCTTTTCATTCAACATCTTTTTACCATGGATGATACAGAACTAATGCAAGATGATCCTAAGTCAAAAGTAAAGTTCTGCCAACAGGACAAAGCAATGAGGAGTACAATTACAGATATTTTTTTATCCATCCATGCATGTGCTATTTTTACCAGTGATAAAATATTCAGTCAGTTTGACATAACAGGTCTTTGAAATAATACCTGACAAGAAGCTGCACAAAGCACACATGCAGTAGCACATAGTCCAGTTTGCCACATTGCTCTTGAAGAATGCAAAGCTTGCTTTGAAATTCAGAGTCTTTCTCTAATTTTCTGAAATTTATGACCAAAAGAAGCACATTTAGACCTTTTTCTCTTAAACTTAATATTACTGTAGAAATGTCAGCATTTCCATGCTAGATGCAACGATCCAGCCCATATTCCATCTCTTGACAGTGGTTAACAGAAGATGTGTTACATGAAGGTGCCCATTACCCAGTGAAGATCAAAAATAGAAAATATTTATTTATAACTTCTGACCTTTAATAATTTTCTCAACTTTTAAAGTCTCTGAGACATGGGATTTCTACAAATGTTCTTGTTAGTGATATAGGTTTGATCCTCTAGCTAGTGTTAAATTTCCTTTTTTTTTTAAAAAAAAAAAAAAGAAAGTAAAAGCTCATCACATCTTTAAAAGCAGATTATAATGAGAAATTACTGATTATTTTCACTTTAACTGAAAGGCTGAACCCATGCAAAAAAGGGAGAATGTTGTCAAATACATTGGCAGCCATGCAGGGCTGAATTAGTTATGCTATGCCATATACTAATACTTAATAGCTCAGTATTTACAGTTCTTACATGCACACCAAAAGCCCCAAACTCACCTCTCACTTGAGATCACCAGGAGATTTATCCAATTTATCCAATGCAAAATTCAGACAGATGAGACCATCATCAGAATTTAGACACACACTGAGAAGCACCATAGGATCATTAACGACAGCAAACGGTTGGGTTTTCTCCTTCTGTCTCACTGGGAGGAGGAAGGAAAGCACCAGCAAAATGCTGGGATGAAGTATCTTCCGGGACACTGGTTACATGTCTCATCAGACAGCTACAGAATTAGTAACTTCATTCCAAGCTATGCTTTTCAGCATTCTTTGGAGATGTCACATTCTGCTATGGAAACTACTTAGCTCACAGTTTTTTAATAGCGTTTCTAAAGGCCCGGGGCTTTTTCTTTCCTCTAGTAGTGCCTTGGTGTCTTTCTGGAGAAGGAGAAGCTGACAGTGTTTCTACCTTATTCTGTTCTTCTCTGGTGAACCTGAGATTGCAGTTTCTGCCAGCTTGCTGGTGATGAAAGGGAAAGATTGTGCTCCCTTTCCCTTCTGTCATTCCTTTTTTCTCCCAGCACTACCTCATAATTGAGCCAGTCCTCATGCTAGATCCTTCTAGCACTTGGTTTAGTTCATGAACCCAGCAGGTCCCTACCATGTTGTGGTGGTCATTGTTTTTCCTTGAGCATAGAACCATAGAATAGTTTGGCTTGGAAGGGACCCTTAAACATCGTCTAGTTCAACCCCCCTGCAATGAGCAGGGATGTCTTCAACTGGATCAGGTTGCTCAGAGCCATGTCCAACCTGACCCTGAATGTATCCAGGGGTGGGGCATCTCCCACCTCTCTGGGCAACCGGTGCCAGTGTTTCACCACATGCATTGTAAAGACTTTCTTCCTTATATCTAGTCCAAATCTTCCCTTTTTTAATTTAAAGCCATTACCCTTTGTCCTATCGCAACACACCCTGTTAAAAAGTTTATCCCCATCTTTCCTGTAGGTCTCCTTTAAGTACTGAAAGGCCGCAGTAATGTCTCCCCAGAGCCTTCTCTTCTCCAGGCTGAACAACCCCAACTCTCTCAGCTGTTCTCACAGGAGAGGTGCTCCAGCCATCTGACCATCTTTGCAACCTCCCTCTGGACTCGCTCCAACAGATCCATGTCTTTCCTGTGCTGACAGCTCCAGAGCTGGACACAGTACCTCAGGTGGGGTCTCAGGAGACTGAGTAGAGGGGTAGAATCACCTCCCTCAACCTGCTGGCCATGTTAGGGAGTTCAGCTGGTTGCCAGAGAGATCTGACAAAAAACGTAGTGGAGCTAAACAGGTAGCAGAGAGCAACACAGGGAACAGGTGTGTGAAATCACAATCTGAAATTTCTGTTCATTTAAGTTGCACCACAGCATAACTCATAGTATGTCTTGAAAACTAGTGAGCAGCTCCATGGTTTACAGGGAGTGCAAAGCAAGTAGCAAAGAAAGTTTTTTGTGGTAGGTTTCTCACTGCGATGAAGCTCTGCAAGCACTAGGTGGCCTGCTTTTAAAGGAAATGAGAATCCTCTCCATTTCAGTATGAAAGAGAGGATTAAAAAGTACAATTTGCACTAATTATGTGTCTGTTTTATAAACTGTGCTACTCTGTGATGAATTATGGGAATATAAATTTTTATTTATTGTGTTTTGGTGAAATCACAGAATACTGTACTCACTTCATAAATATTAGTGGTGATTTATCAAATTGTTTAGACACAGGGTCAAGTTAATAAATGAAAACTATCTGTGTTCAGGCTTTTGCTGTATCTTAGTTTAAACTTCTTCCATAGCGGTGAAGTTGAATTACTTCATACTTGCTGTGACAGATTCTGTTACCACAGCTCAGCTGATGTGGTATCCCATGACCTGATCATCGGCATGAGCCATTGGAGACTGTATTTTCAACTCAAAAACCAGCAGTGGCAGCAGTTAAGAATTAATTCTGTACACTGAGACAATATCATCTGTGTTTTCAAAGTGCATTTCCCCATCCCCATACACGGTCCAGTAAAAAGAGTCAACATCTCTGTAAAATGATGCTTGAGGGAGTAGATACCACCAATGCTGGTGTCGGATGCCCTCAAAGACACTGAGCTGCCAAAGGAGAATGGAAGGTAAGAGATGCAGCTGCCCTGCAAAGCGTGGTGTTAACAAGCTTTTTGCTCCAGT